CTTCATTCTTCCTGCTCTTGTAGCACTGCCCCTTCGAGGTTTTCCATTTATCTCTCCAGCTTTCCCCTGATATATTCTGGTGCCTTCCTTCTGTCCTCCCACACTTCACAGTATATAAAAGCACTGTGCAAAGCTCTCCTTCTTTGTCCCACCACCCCCCCTTTTCACTCCACATAAATTCTTCGATAGGCAAGATCAAGCATATGCAATTTTAGACAACTATCTCCTACAAATGGATGGAACATGGTCAGTTAATAGCCTTACCTTCCCTTTTGCTTTCAGTGCAAGTCAGCTGATCCTGGATTTTTTCCCCACAGATTGACAGCCTTCTTTCCTCAGCTCTTCTAACATGGCCTGGATAGTTCCTCTGTAGGTTTGCCTTGATGTCATAGTCTACCATCAAACTACTAAATCTAACATTAACTTGAGGATGTAAGAAAGACTGGGTATTGAAACATCAGGGAAACATTCCCTAACCTGAGCCATCATACAAAACTGTACAAGATTAGGTCTAGTTAGCACTAACACCAGCAGTGCAGCAACAGTGAACCTGAACCAGCAAAATGCAGCAACTGAAGGCAACTTCTGAGGCAGTAGCATCAAGAATGATCCTTGAATTACAGAGGAGGAAAGTAAAGTGGTTGCTGATGGAAGTCATCACTCTGAGGCAAAGAATAAAAGGCCAATGAATTGCTGGATAACGATTCCTGAGAAAAAGACATTTTTTTAAATGAATCCGTAAGGCTTTGTAGGTCCCATTAACAGCCTACACTCTCTCACGCTGCACCTACAGTTAAGAGTCAGAATAAAACCTACAAAAGTAGCTCACAAAGATTTCTATGCTTAAGTATCATATACTTAATGATACCTAGCTATTACAAGATTAGAAGCAAGAACTGCAGGGCTCCCTCTTGCTTCTTCCAAAAAAGAAAGTTTTCCATATTTTATAGACCTGAAGATACAGCTCAATCTTTCCTGAGTGCTTTTATTATGGAATAAAGAGTAAAGAGGGAAAAAATAACTTGGCCAAGGACCATAATCTGTCTGAAGGTTCTCAAGGACTTTGAAAGTTGGAATTAACCTCTGGCAAAAAAACGTGTGATACGGGAAAAAAAATAAATCAATAATCCAAATATTACTGTGTTCTTCTGAGGATCCACCTATCAGACACATTTTTTGCCACTTTTAGTGTTCAGTGTAATCACCCATTATGGAAATTGATGTCCTAATTAACAGATCAAATCACTGAAAAACCACTCTTGCAAATAGCTGGTCCCCAGAAAGAATCAATAAAACTGTATTTGCCAAATCTCAGTCAACATGCAAAGAAATGTGCACGTTTTATTACTGGCTACCAAGCTTTACATTGTCTTTAAAATTATCATTGTAATAAATGTCTTTTTCAATTTAGAGCTGCATTTTTTCCTACAGCAGCTTAGTAACTTAATTTCTGTAATGTAGGTGCACTTTAAGAATAGTCTTTGTCATAAAGATTTTTTTCTATTTTTTCTACTTATATTCTCACTGTTGAGAACTTTTTCCACTCTTTTTTAGCACACATTCCTTTTTATGATTAAGTTCATTGCTAATTGCTGACTTCAGCCAGACCACCCTCCTAAACATGAGAACATCAGACTTTTATTATGTTGGATAATTTGTTTCAGATTTTTTGGTACCATTGAAAGAGTTAGAAACAATGGTAATGTTATCCATTAACAATTCTCTGCTTAGTCCATATTATAGATAGGATTTCCCTTCCTACTGCTACATAAAACTACTTCTTACTTGATACATAAAACTTGACATTAGCTTAGTATTGACCTTAAGAACTGAATACTGTGTTTTACCAAAGGAAGACATACTTGGAAACCCACTTGATTTTTTCAGACCATGGCTTTGTTCTGGATAGCTTTTTCATTTCTTTGAAAGCAAATTATACAGTTTGACAACACCTTGATTTACTGAAGCTAATCAGCTGTTTCTGCAGATATTTTAGATTTTGGAAGTTTTTTTACGCAGCTTATAGCCCTTCTGCTCTTCTCTTGTAATTCTTCTTAAAAATCATACTTCTCCTCTTATTTGCTGACAAAATAATGGAATTATTTATGCTCCAAGCCCTCAACTACTGACAACCCTTCTCCACAGACAGCAACATCTGCATTTTCAGCAGTTTAAAAATAACCTTTCTCCAGTCCTCTGTTCTTCCCAGCAGAAACCGCCACCCCAAATGCATCCAGGAGAGCAGTTTTAGAAAATTCTAAAAGCTTGCATGTTACTTATTTTGCAATATTGTCTAGAACGCTATTCTGCAATTAGCAATCCTCACTACAGTAAACATGCACATCAAGAGAGATCATCACCCAAGAGAACAATGGATGCACAAGGAGAAGGTAAAGGAAACTGTTAAGGTCAGTTATGTACGGTGTACAGCTGTAAATACAAACCATGCACAGCCAGACAGTAGTTACAAGTTCGTACCTGAAACAAAGGAAGAAAACACAAAGAGACCACATACCAATCATTTCTTTTGTTTTGGTTTTGTTTCTTTTTTATGTCATCAGTGTGCCTGAATTTAAGATCTGCCTCAATATCCCAGTTTACACATTTGTACTTGATTTCAGATTTGCTTTGGTGTTTACAGTCTGTTAAATGGAAGATTTGTGTTACTATGCTGTATTATTTCTACCTTCACTCTTTTAATCCTCTGGAAGACACCTAAAGTCAACAATGAAATACTAGGTTTTTGAGGCTTTTTTTTTTAACTTACTACAAGAACAGTGAGAACTCACTTAGAAAGGTCTGTATTGTTCATACTCAATTTCATTTCTGGAGTCTGAAGAACCACCTCATAGACTTTATAAGCAGCAAAAATAAGACAAGATCAAAACCTTTAATTTGGCTAAATTTTGCTTAATTTAGAGGTAAAAACAGGAACTCCTCCCAGAGGTAAGAGTTCCAATCAAGAACATTACAAACCAAACTTGCAAAACATTGGGCTCTTGAATGAGCATATGCTATGAGAGCTGCAAATGTGTAAGAGTTAAGCAAACAATATTACCATGTGTAAGCACTTTCACAAGCCAGTCACCAAACAGATAAAGTACTAACACTTTTTTTTTGTTTGAACTTAGCTAGATAGCCATCAAATTCTCTACTAGTGTGGCTATACAACTATAGCACAGGATGACATTAGAAATATGCATACATATTAGTAATTGCATGGCCCATTTCCTGAAACAAAGTAACAAACCTAGGCATGTATCAAGAGTTCAAAATCCCTGCTTTAAAGTTGTTTTTAAATGATCCCTGGCCTGAAGTTGTAATTCTTAAGTGTCCTACACAACAAAAGACTTCACAACAGTAGGTGCTTATACCACTATCCTTTTTATTTTTCAGTCAGAAGTACAGTTTCATAGGGTATTTCAATGAAGAGTGGTGTTTATTCCTCAGACAAAACCCCCATCTCTTTGGCATCTGACTATATTCTGTCTTTCAAACTAAAGACTATATAGGAATATTTTTCTTTCAAGGTCATAATTCAATACATTAAATTTACACAGGTGTAGTTAACTTAAAAATACACATCAGTTTGTTGCAAAGATTCTAATAAACCTAAAAAAAGGAAGCCAAACGGGCAAAATGCAAACTACTGGGCTGCCTTCATTTACAACTGTGGAGTGACAGAACAAGAAGAATTCTTAATTTTCCACAGTGCATGTACTTACTAGTGCTTTCTATTAATTCTGAATGATAAACAAACAAAATTTACCAGATTCTAATAAAATAATTTAAGTTTCAAAACACTGTGATCTTAAGAATTTATGCAGAGGTCATCAGCCAAAAATAAGTTGCACACTGCTTCAGTAAAGGACTGTACCTAAAAGAAAGTCCGAAAACTATTTTTCATTTTTAAGTGTAAGTTACTAAAATGTTTTAAATACATCTAGGAATACAACTGTCAAAACTGCATTTAAAATTTTTATCCAAACATGACATTAAGTAACAAAGTAAGCGTATTTAGTCTACTCTGCTGAATAATCTAGGATAATCTCCTCAATGCTGATACAGAAGTAATTCACTTGCACTCCATTAAAAAAAAAAGTCAAATCAACTGAATTTCCAAAGCAACGCTGAAGTTATCTGGGATCTTCCTTTACTATGCACAATACAGAAATAATGAATTTAAATCAAAACCACTACTGACATACCAAAGTAAACATTGCAGTGTCTTTACTGAACTCTGAAGTGAATCCTTGATTGTGTAAAGACAATATAAAAAATAAGTCCCACTAACAAAAAAAAATTATCTTCTCAACAGACTCATTTTTAATAACTCAGATACTTATCCTCAACAAATTTTATAGAACAGTGGAGGCAAAGCAATTCATTCCATGCAGAAACTAAAGAATAACTTAATAGGATGCAAGTAGCAAGGGTTTATGTTATGAGTGAATCTCACTCTTATCACCACTTCAAGTGCAGTTTGAAAAATGTTTGAACTGGGTTGTTTAAATAGCAAGTGATCCAATTTAGCCAAGCTCACTTTCCTCTCTATGATGTTAAAAAGTAATACATACATTTTACTGTAGAATACAGGAACAAAAAGTAAAATTAAAAAACCTCCTTGAGCACTTATCCAGGAACAGTTTCTAACATCATCAAGCCAAAATCAGCAACGGATATCACCAATTCTTCAGTGCTGAATTACTGTAAATACTAGATCTAACTGTACAAAAAAATCCCAAACCCAAAAATCAAAATACTTATTTTTTTAACAGTTGTCCAAAGAATTATCCACCAATTGCAGCCAAGTTTGCAGTACAGATTTCTCCGAGTATTTGTAACACATTGCATTACCAATTTCTATTCAAATACATTACTGATAACATTTAGCGGATACAACCACCTATAATGTGGACAGTCATGTATGCAGTCCAACAGTAGATTTTTGCAGCAACAGAGAAATAATCAGGAATTTGTTCTAAATTTGAGATGATAGCTTATGGGGTATTTCTTGCAAACATACGGTCCCCTCTAAGGGTAAGGTGTTGTAGCTGGTATTGTAGCACTTCTGTGTCAGCAGGTTCCTTAATGCTCATTTTGTCTAAATTGAGGTAGTCCAGTGATTTTGAATGAGCCCTTTTTCCTTTCAAAAGGCAAAGAGGCAGAGGACCGTGAAGTGCCTTGTAAGGTTCATATGGTAAAGCCTTAGTGCATCTATCCCCTGAGCTGGGCATCCGCCGCCTCCTCCTACCATTTACTGCTGGGATCTCATATGGCTGATAGTACCTACTTCTAGTTTTGTACAAACGTGAGGAACGCGCAAGTCCTGAATCAAACTGTTTGGACCGCAAGTTCAGCCCAGATTCCCCTTTATTCTCCTCACTTCCTGTACACTTCTGGGCTAATTTCAGCAGCTCCTCTCCAGTCGTGAAGCCAACCAGGTAGTTAGAATCCATGTGAAGGATCTGATATCCTGCAACCATCCGTCGTATTGGTGAGCAGGGGGTACTGGAACAGCGAGGCTTCTCTGCTTCCATCCTGCCCCCAGGGCTCACCTCTGCCAGAGGCAGAGGGAGGGTGGCTAAGGTAGTTCTGGATTCTCCATTTATGTTAACTTCCATTTTAAACACAACGCTATCCTCCTAAAAATAAAACAGAGCTTGATCAGAAACAGAGACTTTAAGGAACACAACAAGCTGAGACAGAATCATAGAAATTAGTTTTTTGGTTGTTTTGGTTTGTTGGTTTTTTTTAAATCACCCAGAAGCTATGACCATTACTTCTCTATTCAGCCTTGTATTATGCTTGGCAGTGTGTTGTGTATCAAAACTACCACAGACCTTTGCCTTTTAAAATTATATTGCGTGTTTTTTAAATAAAAGATACCATAAATGTACTTCTGATATTCTTAAACATTCTTTACTAGCATTGGACACAAAAAAGCATCAACTTCCCAGTATATTTTCTTATTCTATTAGTTTACTTGATTCCTTACAGCCCCTCATCTCTGAAGCCATCTACATCCATTAGCACATCCATAGCAACTTCTGTGATTTTTTTCTATTAACAATCTCAGTAAAGTATTAAAAAACAAATAATAAATTAACTAATTTAAAATTTTACTGCCTCAGTCAGGCATGATCACAGACTAGACCTATCTACTGAGGGTACTGCAAAGCTTCCTTCTTCCAGATGAGAAGACAGCTTGTTTCAGATTCAAAGAATGCTATCCTGGCTGTTCAACAGCTGTCTTTATAGGCCACCAACAATCCTCCCCTACATAAAAAAACCTATCACCTTATTCACTATCAACCAAATTTGCACTATTTTATTCTAATGTACTTCTAACAAAGGAAATAGTATACTAAAGTTTAATGAATATAGCACAAGACTCTTATAAACACCTTAAGAATTCAACATTCTGAATTCTATGATATTTGTTTTTCTATTTCTTTTGGCAAGAGATTATTTTTCTCTGACCTTTCTTGTCTCACAACTATTCCAAATATAGAGTTTAGCGCCTTTACAAATACTGCCACAAGCCATTACCATCTCTAACATGGAAAGATAAGGACAATATTACAGCAAGTATATAACAGTAGATGCAAGAACACAAAGTCTACTTAATTATTTTAATTTCTTTGTTCTCAGCTTCACCTGCACCATCTCAGTGACACAGCTACTTAACAAAACAGAAAGGTCACATTTGTTTCCAAATCCATGCTTCCATCTTTGTCAGCCTCACCTTGCTCTAAACAGTAGCTAGTGACTCTCTAGCTAATATAGTTCAGAAAAACTTCAGCACAGCTTTATAATGTTTAAATGCAATGAGAGTCAAAGAAGAACAGAAGAGCTGGTATGCAAGTGCCAAGCAGAAATACATTTCTGAACTTCATTATAGGTGACTATGAAGCACATTAAAAAGTTCAGTAATGTTTCACAAATTAGACTTACTTAAAATATGCTCCTATCGGTTTGCAAATTTTAAAGTTGCTACTCACTTCTTGAGGCTTAGGAGATCATAGGCTGAGAAGCAAAGATGCAACAAGCAAAGGAATACTTTATTCAAGCTTCTGCAATTTTACACCCCCAAAAATCCCACCAAGATCAATCTTTAGTATTCTTAAAATAAGACAGAAACTGTGAATATCTCACTTGCAAAAGAAAATAAATCTAGACTCATGCAAAATTTAAACCAAGTATGTTCCTGTTCAGGGACTGGGAATGAGCAGTTTAAGTAATACTGCCACCTCTGATTCCCTGCTCAGTCTCAAATCAACTTGCTGCTCCCATCCTATGCTAATAAACTAGGAGTAAACAAAATCTCCATAGTTTTGTTGAAGAGGATTTTATTTCTCATTGACAAACTTCTATTATTGTCCTGGTTTTGCTGGGATTGAACTGTAGAATTCCATTTTCTGTTCAGCAGAACTGCATTTCTGAGAGAACTGCAGTGTTCATTTCAGGGAAAACAAGTTGGTACTTTTTTTTTTTGCCCCCTTCTCTCTGCACAAGAGGATGGGGGTGAGAGCAGAATGAAAGCCCAGGATTTTCTGGGACAGGTGACCCAGGATAGATGATCCAGGTGTGGATCCAAACTGACCAATAAAATGTACGCTAACCCATAAACATCACACTCTCTGTAATTGAGGAGTTTGCTATGGACAACCTCGTTCCTTGCCTTCTTCTTCAGGTGGATTGTTTCTATTTTTATTACAATGCATCATCATAATCATAATCATAATAATAATCATCATTATTATTATTATTATATTATTTCAGTTTGGCTTATTTAAATTATTGAATAGTCTCTATCTCAACAGATAAGTTCTTTCACTTTTCCAATTCTCTCATTAACCCAACCAGGGAGGGAGGGAATGAGCATGCAGCTGCATAGTGTTTGGCTGTTTATCAGGCTAAAGCACAATTCCTTCATCTTAAATGTCCTTTCTCAGTTCGCATGATCATGGTTCACTTAGGATTCTTCATTATAAGTTCTGTGTAAAACTGCTTTTACATATCATAGAATCATAGAATCTCAGGTTGGAAGAGACCACAAGGACCATCTAG